ATTCAGAGTGCAGAATCCATCTGGATCCGATTCCTTTGGTTGTCACTCAAGGTTAATTCCTCAAATCCTAAATTCTCTTAGCACTTCAAAGAGGCTTTGTGACATTTAGAGGTGGCAGATCTTGCAATTCTGTAAAGTATGCTGATCAAATCGAATCCCAAAGACACGATAGCGGTCAGGTGACATTTACCCGAAATTCCTCACTCTCCCCTCATGAAGAAATCTTTCTTATGATGACGACAATCGATTCAAATAGTTGCGTAGGTTTATTCAAAACATTTCTTATTTATCTTTGTACAGGCATGACTAAAATTTTCTCTGTACAACAATTCATTTTCGCCTAAAAAATTTGCCGAGTCAGCACTTCATGATCAAATGTCCACAAATTTCTGATGTTCACAAAAGACTTTTATTCACATGAAAACAATATTAATCAAACCAAGGGATTTGGGCAATGCTGAGTTGCTTTCCAAATTCAGTTGTTGCTAAACGATACGTGATACTCGCAGCTTGAAAGACCTTCGTTTAGAATCAGCATCAACTTCATTTTTTGTCCATCATCCACAGGTTCTGAAAATTGCAAATTCAGAGTATGCAGCGCGTAACCATCAATGTCTGTTGGCCTGGGGGACACCAGATCACATTCGTCTGTCATAAATCGGTAAAGGTTCAATTTTTCCGCCAGCTATGATAAACAGAAAGGCAGAAGGTGTGATCCCAGTTATGGTTGATCGGCGTGATATTAAATGTTGCAAACGGATTGAAATGCCATGTAGGCCGCCCCCCCACCCACACTGTGTGGAATACAACATGAGGCTCGCGCTGAGATTCACTGGCAACCAAACAAATTATCCGTAGACACTGTGAACTCCAGGACCGGAACAGGTCCAAAGCCGTCAACATGCTGAAGAGATAGCCTAAAAACAGAAAATCGTGTGAGTTGAACCAAATGTTCTAGACTCACGGGTATGAGAAGGGGCATCTGGAGACCCTCATTATATATGGGATTCTGCCAAGTCCCATACGGATGACTTGCTCTTGGTGTACATCGGTAGCCACAGAATGTCAGTACTGATGCCCTGTAATGTTCCGAGTTTTAAGTTGTGCTTGATCCAACCCACAGTACATAAGAGGCGGTAAAATAAGGTGCAACGAAAGAGTCTACCACAGTGGACAGTAAAGTGAGAGACTGTATAGTATGTTTATCTATCTATCTATCTATCTATCTATCGATTTATCTATCTGTCTGTCTGTCTGTCTGTCTGCCTGCCTGTCTGCCCTTCTCTCTGTCTGTCTGTCAACCTATCTACCGGTCTATATATTTAACATTTCAGAGACTTACATCATGGCATGTCAATCCACTGGTGGGTGCCGCAAGGGGAACTACTGTAAAACATATTTTTGCACGCATAATTAGCTAGATCCATGCAAGAAAAAATGTGTGCATGACTTTGAGGTGTAAACCCCCCTCCCTTGTGAAATATACTATAAGGTTGCTAACTGATTGGGTGGTATTTGACGGACAACTTTTAAATCACTGATTTAGTAAAAGGCCACTCTGTTTCAAAATCATTCGGAAATTCAACCGATATCCAATGTTTCTCTGAAACAAGCTACCGCAAGGGTGGGCATCTTCCACGCTTTATTCACACAATCAAAATGACTCTTGAATAATTCCTGACACTCAAATGATGAGCGAGTTCCCCAAAAAAAATCAGTCTTGAAGAAAAGAAAAGCCCAGAAAGTAGCTACACAAACTTTTCGGGTTGGTCACTATGAAATACATATATGGCTCTCAGTTTTACGGTTTTTTTCATGGCCTTTATCGAAAATTACCATAGGGGATGAGGATTCTAGCCATTTAGCAAGTGGTGTAACATACTAGGATACTCCGAAAAGCTACTGAATGTACAATACATACCTTTCTCTGTTGGTTCGTATACCGGGCCTGTAGTCAAAATCAATGCGAAAGGTCACTAGCCAAAAATTACGACTGATCAATGCTGAACGGACTGCAGACCTAGGTTAGAGTGTTACACAAACTAAAACCAAATCTTACCGGCTGCAGTTTGTTTAAATAAAGTTTCAGTTGGTTAAATTTTCGTAGCATGAAAAACACGTTTCGACTCTTATGCATGGATTTTGGAGAATAACATGAATATAAAAAGACTTTTTAAAATTCTTTCTGTGTGTCATTTGATTATGCGTTTTAATGAAAACTTGACAGCCACATTTCTAATTGTTCATCGTATGTTCCCATAATGACATGCCTATATCATGCCATTCATCGGGTGGAATGCATAAAAAATAGAAAAAACTTGAGGGGCTTTGTATTTCTTTCATCCGATTCATGAAGAGACAGTGGAACGATAGAGCTCTCGACATCCTTGTGAATGGAACTGAAAAATACAAACCTAGCAGTGTCTACACTGTTTCTCGACTTTTTTGCAACCCAGGAAAAGTATGCAAATATTTAAAGCTATCCCGAGTGCACAGAATCAGCTTCTGGTTGTTCCGTTTCCTGCAACTGTTGTACGGTTTACAAACTTGGGATTTGGCTGGCAAACGTTTCACACGTGTTCTTTCATCTAGCTTTGATCTGTCACACTTGCAAGCTGTCAGCTGTCATGATTATTAAACAGTCGGCAACCGCTGGTGTTCCAGTGCTTTTTCGATAAAATGGATTAATTAGATCAGTACTTTAGCATCACGCTAATGTTAGTGGTTCAGTGGATCGTTAAAAAGTTCCTGCGCTTTAACTGCTTATTACAGGGCATTATTGCATGCTGTCAACACAAGCGAAGGCAGTAAGGCTTCCGGTCAAAGCCGCAAGTTTGTCGAATTCGCTCAGTAGAGGTGAACTTACCGACAAAAGTCACACAACCTCCGGTAGTTCCACCCACCTGCCGGTTTAACCGCCAAAGGATATAAGCTGGGTCCAGACTGTTACCTTCGGCTTTCGAAGGGATGTCCACTTTGAAGCTGAATACATAAACATCTCCATGTACTTTAACAAAAGTACAGTCGGTCAGTAGCCCGGAACTCCAGGAGTTCGGGTTGCGAGCTTTCAGCTGAACAACGGAAAAAACACGGAGACATGTTGCTTCAGTGACTGCTAACACTACCTCTATTCCAAGATATATTTTTTAAATGAGCTCATTCCTGAAAAATTTTATATACCTTGACAAAAAACCGCATGACCTATGGGGCGATGAAATTCGTTTGCAGATCAAATCGGTATATGCTGAAGGCTGTTCCATCTCATACGTGGGTCAGTTTTGTGCAGCACAAAATAATACACATGACACATTTGGTTGAATTTTAGCTGAATGTACTCTTACTATCAACATAATTTACAAACGAATGCATGTTTCTGCAATCCTTCAGTTTGGCGTTCAACTATATCGTATTATTGACGGAAATTTGGAAACTATGCTCATGCGATAATTCCAGTGGACGATGAAACTTGTATCCACCTCATGAAGGAGCTTCTTGGTTGATTTTGGCTTCTGAAAATCGCGACAAACAAAGTCCCATGTCTTGACTTACTGCTGCCATGTCTTTGCCTTTCTTATCACCAGCACCATACAAAAGAACGTAACATTCGGCTCCTTGCTTTGCATACGAAACTTTATTGTGTTCAAAAGTTGCGATCCTATCTGGGCTAAGCTCCCTGAATCCACTGTCAAGATCAAGTCCTGGTTTTATTAGAGGAACTTTTTCCTCTCACACGGTCTTGTAGAAGCGTCCATGAGTGATACGGACCGGTAAACGGACGTCATCTACTCTGTTGTCCTAATGTATTAATCAGATTGGGTTGAGTGGTTTAGGCATCATGGCATCGTGGCCGGATGGCAATGGCATCTGCTTGCGTGTGCGATTCCAACTTGTTTTACTGAAAAGTTTGTGCAATGTGGTTACCAAAATGAACGCATCTGCTTAGATTAGTGGCATGAAGAGTACGTTGTACTATGTTAGAGTGAAAATATTTTGTTTATTTAAAGTGCAACTTTACAGCATGGCTCAATCGTATCAGTCATTACCAGCAAACTCAGCTGCGCTGGTCACTGCCGTTTTCCTGGATGGAGACCGCGAGACGGGCCACATCAATGGCTAGAGACATTGTCAAACATGGACCACTCGCGCCCTCAATGGCGCTCGTGCATCTAAGCTATTGCCTTCAATGCATAGCTCCCTTCCTAATCTCCCCACTCAAAAGCCCACTGACATTGCTGGATTTATGCACCAATGTATCATCTCCCGCATGCAATGCGCAGCTACCTGCCCTGCTCAAATCTTCGGTGAACGAAAATGCGGCAGCTTCAACCACTGTACGACGAGTACGCGGTTATTACAGCTGACAATGATGATGATGATGAATCCCCTGTGAGACGCGCATTCACCTCGTCTGAATGCACCGTCTGTGATCAGTAAGCGCATTTCCAGAATTTCTTCTTTCTTCCGTGATAATAAATTTTGGTTCCTCGACTATCTTGACAACTGAAACGTCAGTTGGCCGTTTTGCGGCCCTAACCAAATAGAAGCTGACCGTAAAATGTCTAGCAAGCGAACACATGCGTTGAAAATCCTTGTGAAATCGCTGTACTTCAAGACGTATGTGTTATTGGCTGACAACGTCAGGACAGGGTTCGGAGACTGTCAAATACCAAGAAAAAAATCTAAACGGCAGTGTTATCATGTGTTTTTCTTACTGAATTTGAACAGATGTACGTTTCTTGAAATTTCGATGAAACAGTATGTCAAATCATCTAAGCGGTGTGGCAAAAAAGTTTGACAGCTATGCTCAAAACGAAATGGGTGTCATTCAGTTAGTGCCACTGAAGACAAAGCTGGCCATGGATTTTTTCATCAGAAGCATTTTTAAAATATATAATTATATAAGCAAGTTGCAAAAGAAAAAAGTTTGGAACCGATTGAGAAGTCATCGTTTCTGAAGGGCCTGGTGACTACTCCTTCTGATAATCGCACATCAACACGTGTCAGCTCGACTGATCCGAGGCCGTTGTCCACATGCTTGCCAGTTCCCCGCCTTCTATTCTGTTAACACTGGGATGCTTGGCGATTTCTACCGCCTCAGCTACCAGCCCATGTGACGTGAATCTTGGTCCTCGCCTCAAAACCTCAACATTTTCTAAATCTGTTTTGTGTCCCGTGTCGAGTGCGTGTTCCGCGATTGCCGAGTCTTTCAGTAACGCTTGATATTCATCCGCGTTTCTCGGCGACCTGTTTATCTTTCTTCTATACTCTCCGATTTTGACGTAAAGTTCCCTGGCCGTCTGTTCTTGGTGCAGTCGTTAAAATTTATTTTGTAGACACAGCCCCTGGCTGTGTTTGCCGGAGGGGGCATCCTTCAATCTCACCAGTGCATAACTTTTGTGTCAGAAGTGAAACGTTGCCCAGTTAAAAATTACCGAATTTTTCTACCAAGCCATGCTGAAACTCGCGAAAGCATTGGAACGTTCCCTTAAACGCCTACGGGAAAAAGCATGTTTTTGCAGGTTAACTGGATGAAGTCATTGCACTTTTTATTATTTTGTGTAGCCGTCTTCATACTTGGACAATCCGAACTGTTGGGATTAGACGAATCGCTTGTTCTAACCTTGGAACCAACGCTTTTGGAGAACTTACCAATTGGAAAGTTATGGGCGTGATTGAGTCCTGAATATCCCGCACAATAAAGGCATTGCGCACTGGTTTGTAAATCATCTCATGGATGTAGATGGAACCGATCACATAATCGCTTGCTCAACAGTGGCAGGTTGTCGACATCAGAAGCAGTCTCGGATGGCTTAGAACACATTATTCATGTCTTCACAGGTATTTGGCTTTTCTTTTATGAATAACAGTGATTGTTCAACTTCCATATATGAAGGGAGAGAGTTTAGGTGACTAAACCATTAGGGATGCAGTGATCTCAGGGATCTTAGTGGTGATGGGACCAAGAAATCAATAAGGCTTACCAATCCACACTTGTCCTCATTTATTTCTTGCCCATTGGTTTGCAGGTAGGCATACAATGCTGTTCAAAGGAGGGGAGAGTTTACATGAATAAGTTATTATTTCGTTTGGTGACTAACTACAGATCCCATGGTAACTCAAATTTCGTGGAACTGTCAGGTGCGAGGACATCATACATATGCCATATATTTAATTGTTTTACAATGGATCCCATGCTTAGGAAACAGATATCGATCAATAAACTTTTCACAACGCTGACAACGTGTCCAGAGATAGTGTCATTTCCAATTTGGCAGCATTTTGAGCGGTTGCTACACCCTAATAAAATCTAGAATGGCTATTGCAGTAAAGGTCTAAATATGTGTTTGCGTCATTATTGATATCAGATTTTCTCAAAAAAAATAATTCCGCAAAGTATCTACGCATTGACATCAGTGAGAATGTAAAAGGACAGCATTTTGATGCCGAACGCGTCTCCCGTGTCCTCGTATGCCTGTAAATCATATACCCAACCCGTTTCTTTAGTTAAATTCAGGTTTTACATGGGGACCATTGGCGATAGCTTTAATGTACGGTAAAAATTAGACACCTCGTGTTACCTGTTCTTATTCGGTTGGACGCGAGCACTTCTCTGTTCTCATTTCGGAGGAAAGGGCTCATTCAAACCAGGCGGTATAGGCTAACAGTATCAATCTAACGCGACACTCATTCTCGGTCCCATTGGTTGATGATTTACACCACAGCGAATCAAGTGGAACCTTATTGGTTGTTGATCACGAGGCTATCGATCTGTTTGCCGAGCATAGCAGATCAAACCAGACAGATTAACAAGTATCCGAGAAAACAGTATTTCAACACACTGCCAGTAGGCAACTTTCCAGTTTTCGAACTTTTCCTTCGGATTGTACGCAATGACCGGTGAGGCATCGTAAGCCAAGAGCAAACCTAACAATCGGTTTTGTCGATCAAAAATGTTCTGCATTGGAAATTTACTTCAACAAGTCAATTTTAGTTGCCGGCTAGAATAACGACCGCAGGGAGTTGAGATTTGGTGCACCAATTTGCCAAGGTCAAACGATAGGATAACCAAAGACTAAAAACTTCCTGATGGATACATACGTACATTTTCATTCAAAAATGAAGCTTCTTGATTAAAGCTTACTTTCCTGAACACATTGCACCTCTGTTGCGACGGCCAGAATGAGGAGAATTATGTGATTCATTTCCGGCGAACTCGGACAGCATTATTCCTCAGATCGTGCAGTTTTATACTTGACCAGAACGAAAACCAGACGGCTAATTTGCCGCACGTGACACGAGCGTGTCACACAACAGGTGACACCCTATAAACGAAATGAAAATAACGCGTGGAGTGCAAATCTTGGAGCTCAAGGATATTCCAAATTCTTGCCATTTTACAAAATCAGCGAATGCCCTTGAAACTCGACTGACTGCACATGACTTTACAGTTTGTTATGTGGGCAAACAACCATTAGATATGCGCCTCTGGTGAATTTTCTCTCCAATGGTCCTTCCTCAATTCGCTCCGTAGATGCTGAGTCGCCGGCAAGCTTGAAGTACGTTCATAAGCAAATAGTGTTGAACATCAGTTCTGAAATGCTTGAAATCTTCAGTTGGCCAGCATTCATTTGTAATCATAACGTAGGTCAGGCTCATTAGCACTAAAGTAACATTCCTGATTGGCAACGTTTAGAAAGTGTTATCATGTGTCTCCCGCAAAAAATCAAGATGTTTTTTTTAATTTTGAAAGGGGGTGATGGAGTGAACCGTGTCTTACCACTAGGGGGGAAATTATTCCCCCCGCAGTGAGTTAGTTTGTTGTCTTCTGTATGTTGTCAGTTAGACGTCAACCGGCCAACAAAAACAACACATTTAAAGAATTTTAGGTGGTAAAAAGTTATTCTAGTGGACATTAGAGGGTCTGTAAGGTCTGTTTTGGTTAAAGCGTTCTTTAGGGTATGGAATTCTTAGTGATTGAACAAAGTGTAGACTGACGGAGTTTGATAGCTACGTCCTCAGCTACCGCAATTAAACACCGCCATGTGACCTTCAAATTGCATGTCAGAACGTCCAAAACTAACTCGAACGTTTCTCCTTGAGAATTCGGTTAGAAAACCACATGAATGGACGCACTCGCCATAAAAGTACAAGTAGGTTTATTCGAGGGTTTTATTACCCCCCTCCCCCACCAAAGTGATGAGAAAAAAGAATAAATAAATAGAACCGGGATGCCCTCAGCCAACCAGTCAATCAACTTATCAGCTATAAACCATGTATCATAAGCACACTCGTTCCAGGTGCCACACTTTCAGTCACCGAGGGAGGCGGCGGTTGTCTACCCGATTAAGTTCGTTGGTTAGTTTTTTAATACTTCATTGCCCGGTCATACACTGTCCACCTCTATGTCGCTTCTACTCAGCAGAGGAATGGGTGAAAAGAGCATTGCGAGGCAGACGGTCATCTGGCATGCCGAGTACATTTCCTGCCAGTAGTGGGTTGAGTTCTGGGGTCCCCATCGAGGGAAGCGGCAGTTGTCTACCCGACTAAGTTCACTGGTTATTTTTTTCATACTTCGTTGCCAGGCAATACACTGTTCACCTTTCAGTCGTTTTCAATTAGCAAAGAGATGGGTGAAAGGAGAACTGCGAGGCAAAAAGTCTTCTGACATGCGAATTACATGGCCTAACCAGCAGTTCATCTATCGCGGGAGACCCCTTTCTTCCCCAGCGTAACCCATGAAGTGTGAGTAATTCGCCTATCGCGGGAGACCTTCTTCTTCCTTAAACTATTTGATTTACCCCGGCATTACTAATCCGGTGTTGTCAGCATACTTGACCAATGCTCCTGAGGCTCCGACAGTCGAACACTGACAGCTTTCGTATGCCTTTGTGCATAGAGGCCAAGTTTCTGATCCACAAAGCAGTCTAGATCGCACAGCCGCGGTGTAGACTCTGGCCTGGACAGACAAAGTGAAGTCACGTCGGTGCCGTAGGTGTCGGAGGTTGGCAACGGCTGCCCTGATACTTTGTGGAGAAAAATGTCGGTAGCTCAGGAAGCGCACTGGGGATGTCACCTCGATCGTGATGAAACAATTGCAATCAAATTGCCCAGCTCAGCCAACAGGTCAGCCACCATCTGCCCTGATTTCCACGAATCGAGAAGTAATCTCATCTCTAGCCAGTCAACCGGAACGTTTACAGCTGCTCAAGTAAACAAATTTAGCTACGACGTCGATCGACTTGTCTGCAAACCTGAGGATTGGGTTTGATCCAACCCAATCTTGCAGCAGTATTTTACACTTGCAGGTGTGATGCGCATGCCAAGCCGTGCGGCAGAGTTATTTAATCTGTTTAAAATCGTCTACATTCGGGTAGGATCTGAGCCAAGAACAGCAATATCGTGCGTATACTCAATGGCTATGTGCAAGTGTCCCGAGAATACTTTGACCCCCAAGATTTCAGAGAGAGCAGAGGAATTCTAAGCAGCGAATCAATAACAAAGTTGAAAAGGAAAGGTGAGGGAGTGTAGCCTTGTCTTACACCAGTGGACGTGGGGAATTCAGGCAAAAGTTTATCGTATACTCGTACGCGCCCAAAGGCATTCGCATACAGCGCCTTCATAAATTTGGAATGAGCACCTTTGATCGCCAGACACTGCAAAAGATTCTCACCATCGACAGAATCAAAAGCAGCTTTTAGGTCAAGAAAAACGACGAACGTGAGAAGTCTGGATGAGTGGTGTCGTTCAGGAATCCGTCTTAACGTAAAGGTATGGTCGATGCATATTTGATCATGGCGAAACATAGCTTGATTCTCACGAATCTGTCTCTCCATCAACCTGCGCAAAATAATACAAGAAAGCCCATTAGATGCGTCAGATACCAAACCGATGACACGATGGTCTTAACACAACGTTCTTGCGCCCTTTTTAAAAAATTGGATGACGGTCTAGGATCAGCTAGTATTCTGTCTTCGTTCCAAATCTTCTGCTGTATGCTTGTCACCAGGACCTCGCCACCTTCTTTGAAGGGCGCGGGGTGCAGACTATTCGCACCAGGTGCCCTGTCACGCTTGAGGATTGAATTCTCACGCTGAATTTCGGTTGCTGATGATGTTCTATTCAGGCCCTCTAATAAACTTGTTAGTGCATAACACCTTCTGAATTCTAAGCAGTCTAATTATAAGTAGCGCACTAACACCAGGCACAAAACGATAATTTGACTTCTTTCTTCCTCCGAAAGGTTAAGAAATGTGCAGTTAGCTTGTACCAAGACGTAAGAAGGTGACAGTTCACACGTGAAAAACTGTCTGAACGTGGTCACTGATCTGAAGTGACGTATATCAATTCATGACAGACTCAGAGTCTGTTTTACTGAATTCTGTGCCTACTTGATGAGCTTCATATAAGACAAGCACGTAATAGAAAGGATATGGTGTCTGGATGGGCGGTCTTTTGGGGTCAGCCGTGTAATGTTTGCTCCGTTAATGTTTCGCACCCTATAAAGCTGCATTCCAAGCTTATGCCACTGTTGTACTGGTGTTCACTTTCCACGTCGTTACCCTCTCCTTATGAGCAACACACGGTTAGAGGTGTCTGGTGAGCCCTGCCGATATACATGGCACGGCAGTTGCAAATGAACTGCTAAACTCGAATGACACAACAAAATTTCCTGGTGAAAAGAAACACGCCGTTTGGTGTGGAGTAGTTGGATAATGAACACAAACGATGTGGTCACAACATTGGGCGCAAAAGTAGTATTTTCACCCGAAAAGTTTTTGAAAGGTGAATATTCCCAAGCGCCCTCCAAAACATTACTCGGTGTTCTTTGATGAATGAACAATAATAAACAGATGCTGCATCAAATTTCCTTCGGACATGGAAATGAGGTTTTGAAACCTCATCAGGTACTGCTCGCGTTTTTCGTCAGTAGTATCCAACGTTACGCTAGTAGTATGCACAGAGCGAAATCTCGCATCCGGATCAGTAGGCTGAAGTGCTGTTCTGAAATTTTACCTTGAAAAGGTAGTGTCGAAAGTTGCAGTGGAAGTATAATCACCAGACCCATCCATGGTTTTCCGTACACGGTCGACGCACTGAAGAAAATGGTTGGGTGAGCCTGTCGCATGACTAGAACAAACCCGCAACTGTATACTGTACCGGATTAGCACTTTCTCGCCTTCATTTTCATGAAATGCTGAGTAATTTTCCTTCAGGTGACCTCCACTCGAGTGAAACATTTCAAGTTTTCCCGACACTTGAGTAGGGGAGCATCCACTCACTGACGTGCGTTTTCCACCTGTTCGCTCCTCGGAATTCCACAAATATGTCTGCCGCCTTTCCTCCAAGTTGATAGAGCTAAACTATTCAAAGGAATGCTTTGATTGATTGCTTTATAACCGGCCATTTTGTCACCCGCTTTAAATTCATCTTCCACTTCTCCAGCATTCACCCACAAGTTATGTTCAACCACTGTGCTTTTTTGAAATGGCGTTTTAGAAGTTCCTTTGGCGGGACACATCCAACCTCCAGCCAAACCTATATATGTATATCTATATCTATTTAACAAATTCATCATTGTTCTGTAGTACGATCCTAAATTTTAAGGCAAAGCATTTGTAGCTCATTTTACGTTCGCCCACCTCAGTTCCTACTATGTGTTGACCCTATAACACTTGGGGTGACATGACTTGTCTCTGTTTAGCTTGACTCGACATGACGATATATGCACGCCCGCTCTAGGCCCAACCGTTGGCGGGATGGTTTGAAAGAATTTTGAAGAGAAACGCCCGACAAAAGGCGCTTCAACAATTTGCTGTCAACCTTAGAAAAATGCTGCCGAGGTGAGTTTGAATTGGAAAATATAGATAATATAAAATAGACCAAGAACTGGACAAAGGTTCAAGTAGATCATAAGGTTGACGGAAACTAGGGGACTGTGCCCACCTGATGAGCCCCAAGAAGGGCGAACTGGTCGTGGGCTGTCGAAGAGTTTTCAGCAAACTTGTGAGTAGTTTCCTTTATGAAAATATACTGCGGTATCTCGAATATCATCCCAACTGAATCATGAGGTGGCCTGTGTGTAGCTCATTCAGTTGTAGAATATCGTAAAGATTCAGTTGAGTCTATCGAGAAAAACCAAACTGACTTGCAAATGAGTGCATTTCTCGGTGCATGACAAGATTATTTCAAGTCATAAATAGACCAAACTCTATGTAAGCTTTGGAATATACTTACTGCAAACGGGAACCTATAGTGGAACTACGCTGACCTAAAAAACTCACACGTTTGTACCTTGCGGCAACTTATGGGGGTCCTATGGTTTGATAGTCAACCTAACGGCGTTTTCTGCCGCACGTGACAAGGAATGCGTTGCCATTTCGGTACTGACAAGACTGCATATCTAATCGACTATTCTTCCAACCAAACAAGAGTGGTCAGAGTTGTTCTACTAGAGGAGTTTAGTAATATCTTTCTGAAAAACAGACCGCCAACAGGCTCTTCCTGGGTTTAGTAAAAATCTGTGCAAGTTTCATTGGCCTCATGCGGATAAAATGCTCTGCTGTATGTTCCTCGTCGTAAGGGGAAATTTGAGGTGAAATAATTTCAAGTCGTTTGTATCAAAATTTAGAAGGGTTGGAAAATCAAACAAACATTAATGGGGTAATACACAAGGGCAGCATTCCGAAGTTTTACTGTTTAGGCCTAAAAGGGCACGAAAAATCTGGAAAAGTAAGAATTTTGAACATCTACAAATGTCTTGTAAATCGGTCGTTTACAATACCATCGGCATTACCAGATGAAGTGATTTTTTTCCGGATGCGTGAGTTTCTTGTTGGGTGACGTCACAGAAGATGCAGTTTCAACACGTCATGAAACCCAATGTTCCCATTCTATTATAGCAGTAGACCGAATAACGTTTTCTGTAGAAATTTGTGTCTCCTAGTTGTATATTGAACAACCCTCGTTTCCATCTTTCAGTCCTCTAATTCATTCTGTTCATTCGTGGAATTTTGCTTATCATCCGTTCCCTTCCCCCCGGATAATGGAACCGTCGTTTCCATCTTTCAATCTTCTAATTCATTCTGTTCATTGTAGCATTTCGCTTATCATCTGTTCCCTTCCCCCGGATAATTGTGATACTGTTGACTTTCCACATGATACTCGAAAACTTGTGTTTAATGTGACAAATTCTGTTTGTAATGCACTACTCATAAGGTTGCTGAAAATTCCTCGACCGGTTCCACCCTTCTCGAGGCTCATCAGGTAGGCGCAGTTCCCGGGTTTCCGTCAACCTTATTTTCTACTTCGAACCAAATTGCAAGCAAAGCAAACAACTCTGATTGACTCACCTAGAACCCAACTGAATTACTCGTTTGTGATGCTTCCAGTTAACTGAACGTGCTGCACCAGGTCGCATCATTTTTCAGTTGCTACGACATTCGAGATATCCTGACAAATTCTAGATTTAGTCTGCATTACCCTGAACTAGTGTAATCTAAATGGGTCAGGTTATTGTCTTCCCCCTGTCAGAATTCTTCGGTGCTTTGCGCATGCTCCGCCCCCTTCATA